GCACAAGAAAGCCCAGACCTGGCGACATGGATTTCGAGACCAGTTTTCTCGCGGAGGAGAACGACCAAAACCCGGTCCCTCCCAAGGTCCCAGCAAGGGCACCAAAGGCTCCAAAAAGGGCTGATGGTTTGGTTGCTGGATTTTTGCTACGGCCAAAGGACCACAACGCCTTTTTATAACCCTCACGTGGTGGCTGCCTTGGATCCGGCCACACCGCAAGCCATCAGAGATTTCGCTTGGCTGTTTTTCGATAAGAGCCAAAGGACCACACACTGCATCGGTCCTTTGAGCCGTGGAGAAGCAGGCTCGACCTGGCACTCCCGAGAATTCGTTTGTAGTTGCATGTTTCGGTCCTCTTTTAGCACGAGGCCTTTTCTGCGCTTTGGGCGTGTATCCGGCGCCCACCTTTGAATCTTTTTGGGGGCAGCCTTGGATCCGGCCACACCGCAGGCCTGCAGAGCTTTCGCTTAGCCTTTCCTCGGTAAAGAACTTTAGTTTTCAGGAGGCTCAGTGCAGGGGTAGACGTTACATGCACTCCATTAATGGTAATACTACAACGCTTCGCCTCACTTGGGATGGGAATGACCATGTAGCCCGAAGGGTTCTAGATCTGGATCAATTAGACACCACACCTCCCCTACAAACAGCCAACTCACAGTACACTAGGGAAGTCTTGATGAAGCTCAAAAACTTCTACCCTACAGCATCTCTAAGCGTAGACCTACCAAAGTTGCTCCCTGCAAAAAACCTCCAGACCACACCGCCGGCCCAGGTTTTAGGTAACTCTAAGCCTTCCAGTCGAACAGGACGTAGGATCAAATTAAGAGTTCAGGGTTTCACCTTTTTTCTTAAAGGCCCCAAAAAGCGTAGGCCCGTAATTCATAGAATTAAATTGAATTCACCACACACAAGCCGAACACCGCCTCCTAGAGGCACGCCGGGGATCCTAGGGTCTGACGAAGAGTGTCCCCCAACAGAGGGGCGGACCACAACGCAGTCGAAGGGGTCCTTGCTCCGTGCACTCAGACGAAGAGCGTATAGGGCTTGGGTTCGACAGTGTAAACAAACCAGGGGAAGAAGGGTGGGCACCCTCTTCCCCGTCCCCCCCTCGCCCACAACAGCTGCCCCTACCCGAGCAAACTGGTTCAGGAAAGCAGTTTTGTGGCAACAGCAGTTAGGAAGGAACAAGAGGCGAAAGGTCACCACCAAACCGACCACACCGCATCTAGATTATAATTCGTCTGTCAGGGTAGGCTCTCTGAATGTTCAGGGTTTTGCGGAGACCCTAAAACTAAAGAGTGCCATTGACCTCATGCAAACACATAATCTAGATGTTTTTTCCTTAGTGAAACCAAAACGAAGCAGTATAGAATTGGCGGAACGTACTGAAGGGTGCGACCCCCACTGCGCGTCTGATGCCCTTTTACCCATTGGAAGTGTACCTTCATGTTTGCGTTGCGCAGCAGAGTCCGAATTCTGTTGATCATATGTTTGTGCGCCTTGGGACGCCACCTGCCCGTGATGACGTTGATGGACCACTGGCTATCGCTGTGTACTACTATATTGTCAAAACGACGTTCTGCTGCAAAGAGTAGGGCCTCATAGATGGCACTGAGTTCTCCTGTGTTGTTGGACCCTACCTCTGCTCCTAGAACGGCGGTGTGGTCTGGGGAAGTGATCATCGGTCCTGACGCATCTAACCAGTCTTCCTCTTCCCCTTGCAGCGTCCAACCCCACCCCGCAGCTGTATGGGCTGAGCACCTGCCACGAGACCCTGAGCCGTCTGTGAAAAAATGCTGTGGGGGTGCGTTGTGGTTAGGGCTGCCAGTATTACTGGGTTGTTCCTGCCCATTAATAAGTAGGTTATAGGTTCTCAGTTGTGCTTTGGTTGGGGGCCCCAGCTTTTGGTGAGGTGGGGGCTGTCTGGGTTTGGCTTTGAGCTTGGCTTTAAATTCAGATACTACAAGATAGTGGTCCGAAGGAAAGCCAGTGTGTAGCTTGCTTCTGCAGGAGATGACTGAGGGAAGCCATTGTGATCGGACAAAACAATGGTCTAATCGCTGGAACCTAACTGGGTCTGGGGTTGGGGGTGGTAGTGGTGGCTGCAGTAAAGGTGGGAGTTCAAGGTATGATCTAATATCCTTGCCGATTTGCCTGGCTAGATCGCCCTCAAAACATGTGGTCAGTTTTCCGTACAATTGCTGCGTGATCATAGGGTCTAGCACAAACTGTGACCAGTCCGAAGGTGGCGCCGCTTTATCTCTGTATGTGATGTGGTCAATGGGTGTAGGGGTCTTGTAGGACGCAGCCTCTACCATATTGAGTGATGACATGTGCTTAATACAGAGGGAGCGGTTTGAGGTGGCGGTGTGGTCGAGAGAAGCCTGGAACCTGACATTGAAGTCGCCTACAACATAAACTGGTTCTGGTTGGGGTATAGCCGTGATATGGTCCTCTAGCTGATCCCAAAAGGGCTGCCTGAACTGTAAGGGCGGCTGGGTTGATTCAAGACTCTAGATGATTCAATACTCCGTTGGAGTGGGGGGGGTTTTGGGGCCCTCGAGGCAGCCCTGATAATGACGACAACAACGCCGAGAAGAGAGCATCCATGGCCCAAGCATGAGAACGTCCATGGTGTGATCCGAGAACAACGCCGAGAAGAGAGCATCCGTGGCCCAAGCATGAGAACGTCCATGGTGTAATCCGAGCCCAAGCATGAGAACGTCCATGGTGCAATCCGATCTGAGATGCAAGTACTCCTACTACTAC